GTGTGTGTGTGTGTGTGTGTGTGTGTGTGTGTGCCTGAAGAAAGGTACCAAAAGTCGGATTTTGACCATTTTGAGATAAGTGTTGAACCTTTTATAGAAAATTCAAAGCTGAAGACAGTGGTTTTTGAGTTTTTGACATATCTCAAGTAGTTTTTTTGAGAGATTCCACATTTTGCGACGTAGTGTATAAATACATAATTTTGAGAAAATGAGCTTTTAAGTTTAGAACAAATACAAATTTGAAAATAAAAATCAACAACCGATGATTCAATCGTGTCAGATGAAAAAAGTTGCCTCAATAGTGGTTTGGTGTGATTAATATCTGTTAAATCTCAGCGATACAAACACAAATATGCACACACAGCACTTCAAACATATTCCATCTATGAGCTGTATTTGGCCGTGTAGTCGAGGAAAGCAGAAAGCACCGAACAAAGGTCCAATTAGCGCATAGGTACCGTATCTGTGTCACTGGGGGAAATTGTCTCGTAAACTTTCACCCCATTGTCAGTGCTAGGAGAACGTGGGCTCTCTATGCATCGTTATTTTTTTTCAAGTTTTCTTCCTTTTTATAAGACGGGTTTTTATTAAGGAAGGGACGAGGGAACGGGCTCGTCCTTTGCTGAGCCCTAAAGACATTTGATTGGCTGTTAGCTTACTATAGTTGTAAGTGGGGACAACAGTGATTGGATAAGCGCTCACGTCGCCAAGTTGATCACTCTGTGTTCATTTCGTGCGATCCTAACGGTTTCAACTGCTTATTTGGTTATTTAAGAAACCTACATTTATTGCTTTTTTGATAGAGTTGGGGGTAGGCACGGGGGCTCAAGCACGTGAGCCCTTCACTACCTACCGCCACTGGTCACCTAGCCTGTCAGCCCTTAGAGCCGATAACACCAAGTATTCAGACTATAAAGGAATCGGTAGACCACGCAAAATATGGACTGAGGGAGTCGGAGGAATACTGAGAAATTATAACGTCCCAATGTAAAGAGCTGCAGAGTTGACATAGGCCTACCATAAAAAAAATTGCATCTCCTCTCGATGCAACAGAGGAAGGAAGAATATAAAAAAGTAAAAGTGAGTAGGAGTTTTAAGTCACTTGCAACACAATTAGGTCATATAGGTGCCGAAGATTACAGTTGCTACTCGAGAGAAACAAACACAAAAAGGAGGAAAGATAAAGGGGACAGATGAATGATAGGGATGGATAAAATCACACCAGCGCAACTGCCAACTACACACTGGGGTCAAAAGAAGAGAAACTGAATCTGTGTCGGCAGTGTAACGGTTCGGAGCTTTGTAGTCGCACACGGGCGATACGAGTTCGATTCCCGAGTGGGGAGGGTTTTTTAAATCAAATATCTCGGTCTTTCGGCTCAGACGGTGAAGCCCTCTCAGCCAACCAAGTAGAAGAAGTAGAAGAAGAAGAAGAAAGAGAAGAAGAAGAAGAAGAAGAAGAAGAAGAAGAAGAAGAAGAAGAAGAAGAAGAAAAAGAAGAAGAAAAAGAACAAACAATCCGATTTAAAACAGCAATATTAAGACCAGGGGAAAGCATTAGTGGTTGGGTTGATAATGTGGACGGTGGGGATCACTCGAATTGCCCCGATAGGAAATGCATGAATACATATGATGTGAGCGTGCGGTACGAAAATTGAGCCTCTTAAAATTGGCAAAAGTGGGCGCTAGCTATAAAAAGGTTGACATGAACTGCGCTAATGTTTCTGGTGCACGTCGCAAAGCTTCATACAGTTGTAGTTACACTACATATTAATGCCGAAGCTTGGCTTAACTCATTAGGCCCAAGACCACAGGATGAACAAAAAGTAACCAGACCGGACGCACGCTTCAGGAGACACAAATTATATGCACAATACCTAAAGGTCATTTGTGAAGCGTGCTGACAAAATGAGTTAATTCTCGGCTTCAAGCCTGATGGAAATAGAGACATCACACTTATAGGTGAAATTTTTACAATTTGTAAGAGTGAAATAATAAAAGGAATGTTATAGTTTAAGAACGTGGTATCAATAGTAAATGTACAAATTTGACCCTAGTGTCGATTTTTGGCCTGTTTATTGATTTATGGATTGTGAGAAATAACTCATTTTGTCCCCACGCCCCACATTTACTTCTTGGGGAAAAGCAACATAGGCAGACAGAAACAACAGAGTGAGTGAATGTGAAGAAACAGGGGCTATCAGTGGCACCCGCAAGCCACCCGCTGCACAACAGTGAAAGGTGATGAAAAGTATATACTCTTTGGCTTTTGGTCTGTAATATTGTCATACTGACCCCCCCCCCCCACCCTCCAACCCCGATGCCATCCCCTCCCCAAGTCCACAGAAAGGGTCATGTCCACCCTGTCAGTCCAGAGTAGGAAACAGCTGAAAGAAATGAAACAGCCGAGCATACTCATACACATACACATACACATACACAAAGACAAATACACACACAAATACATACATTCTCCCCCCTCCCCTCGATCTCTCTCTTCCCTTCTACCTCTCTCCCTCTCCCCCCCCCTCCTCTCTCTCTCTCCCTCTCGTTCACCGCCCTGAAATGGCACGTCCAACTATAAACCCGCAGTTCTTTTTATCACACCCTTATATATATATATATATATATATATATATATTTTTATATATATATATATATATATATATATATATATATATATATATATATATATATATATATATATATATATATATATATATATGGAGTTCAGTTTGAACATTACCTGATTAACAGCATCCAGAAAATTCAACCGGACTCTCATCATCTGCTCATAATCGATGTCCATGCTATACGTTACAGACCAGATTCAGTCCCACTTTGCTCAACGAGAATAAGCCTTAATTCATAAGTGGAATGGCATTCCTAAATCAATCATCACAAATCTTCAACTGTCCATGCATCGACGATATGAACCTGGATGTTATCACACTCGTTCTAGACCTAGAAGTTGTCACTTCTTATTTAGATCTTTGACAACTTTAAGTTCAAAATTAAAAGTAATAATTACATGTACTTTCCTTTTTACGTACCCAGTGTGATGCTTTTCTTTAAAAATTTCTAAAAAGCGTTATCTGTAACTTTCACACAGATTTGTTTAATACCAGCATCATTGTCTTTAAAATAAGGCACGGAGTTAAACATGTTAAACAGTGAACAGTACGTTATACTTGAAACCAGCCCTCACAGTACGTCCGTCATGGATTCCTTTCCAAATCTAGATCTAGAGACTTTTCACTAGCACACACAATCACTGGGCTGTTGCTCCGAGAGAGCACAGCACAATACACACAGTTACATTACATTAACTTATATGAAGAAGCGAAGCTCGACGGTGACGCCAGAGCAGGCAGGACTGCCTTGACCCACACACCCTTTACGTTCCAGCACACACCCCAACCAGGAGGTCATTACAGAATAATAGCTCATTCAGGGTTGAGAGCAACAAAGGTCCGTTTCGTAAGAGGGAGTATATGTCAAGCCTTCGAACCGTTTGCTAGAGGACATAAGCCATGATGCCTCAGAGTCATGTTTGTTTTTGTAAAGTGTTTTACGGCGCTCGCAACTGCATAAGGTCATATGACCGCGCGGTACACACCTAATATTTTCAGTTGGTAGGAAATTTTGAATTTTGCCCGGGTGGCGGCCGAAGCCTACTCTTATCGATTTTAGACCACCAAGGGATCTTTAATGTGCGCAACTTGCACACGGGCCCTCCGAGATTTTTCGCCCTTGTCCGAGAAGGCTAGGTGTAGATCTTTCCTACCAGAAGATCAGGGGTGTGGCTGAAAGACAGCAGTAAGAAGAAACGAAGGAGCAGCAGTAGAAAGGCTGCAGAAAGAATCAGGAGCCCAGAGGAAGGGGCAAAGGAGGTGAGGGGGTGGGGGCAGAGAGAGGAGACGAAAGCAGACGACAGAACATTGCTAGAGTGCAGGAAATGAGGTGAAAGGAGAACATTTAGAGAAGAAAATTTTTCGGTCGCTACCCGGATTCGAACCCGGGACCTTTTGAATGAGAGGCCATCACCTTAACCTCTGGGCCACGAGAACCCCCGCCTTAGAGTCAATATCCAAAACCGCTAACAAAGTTTGATATCTAGATCTATGTGCCGGTACACCAAACAACGAAACAGAAATGATACTGAAGAGAAACATACTATTTTGTTTGTTTGAGAAAAGAGAAGCATTTCGACACAAAAATGGTAATTTCGTGCAAGGAAAATGTACAACAGACAGGCAGAAACAACAGAGGGAAAGTAAAGAAGTAGGACCTAACTGTGGGGCCCTCAACCACCCGCAAAGACACATAAGGAAATCGGTCTCTAATGACAGCATGTATAAAGAATCGGGAGTAAAAAAAAAGTATCGTTGAGAGATCTTTTTCTCATCTCGCTCCATCAATTTGGAACTCTCTCCCACATGTGAGGGATACAAAGTCGGAGGTAAAATATGAAATTCATTAAAAAAACAAACTTCATGAAATGCCATCCTAGTAGTTGTCCTTCTTATTCAAATTGCTCTGTGTTCTTTGAGGTGATGTGCATGTCGTCGTCGATTGTTCTTTGATAGTGTGAATATCTGCTATTATGTGTTAACTAGAGCTGGGCGAAGAGTCGATTCCGGAACCGATCCCCACGATTAATACTACGGAAGTAAAGTTCCGTCTCCTTTTTACGTAAACCAACGGTAACCAGTTACTTTTATCATTAAAATCTTTTTTTTTTTTTAGAATATATTTTTTGAAAAATAGAAGTTGATGCTTCATAGTATTCCAAAATCAAGGTTATCCTACATCCTGAAGATGTTCGGAGCCAACCAGGTAACCATCGGAAGAAATCACGTCATTAGAAAGTAAGTAATTGGGTTCGGAGTCGATTCCTACGATTCCTAGCTTTCAATAGTCGGGAACCTAGCCGCCCAGCACTAGTGTTAACGTTCATCTAAAGAGCTTATGTATGCGCGTTCAGAAAAATGTATTTTGAGTTGAATATTGTAAAGCGCCGAGCGCTGTATTGCACGCGTGTGGGCGCTATTGTTATTGATTATTATCATTTTCATTATTATGATTATTATTATATTGTGACAATTGGAGCCTTTAGACTGAAAGCTTTTTATCACGAAACTCCACTGGTACAAGATTGAATTATTCATTGCAACCTCTCATTGTTTTTGTCAGTCTCCGTGTAGTATTAAAAATATCCTCACAGGGGTATAAAGCGATTTTATAGAGCGAAGAATACCTTATGCAGTTGCGAGTGCCGTAAAACCCTCTACTATAAAAAATAGAGCGAAAGAGATTGGAAGAGATAGACGCAGAGAGGCAGAGAAATACATATACTTGGAGACACACACACACACACACACACACACAC